TGGATAACAGATGGGTTCACAGAGTGTGTGTAGGTGTTTGTGGTGTGTGTGTGTGTGTGTGTGTAGAGATTTTCTCTCTCTCATTTCGTTTGTTTTTGGATGTTCCCCAATGTTGTCTTTTTATTTTTTTATTTTTTTCGTTGGGTTTCAATGCTTCTTATATTGATTTAGGTACCAGGATCTCTGTTCTGATTTTCTGGGTTTTTCTCCATCATGTGGGCGTCCGAAACGCTTCAGATCTGCGGCTTCCCATCGCGTCTCTGTTGCTGACATTTTCTTCTTCTGACGAGGATCTGAAAATGGACTCTGAGAGAGCGCTGTGGAGTCAGAGAGCACGCCTCTCTTGGCAACACGCCTATCCTGGTGTGGTAAACTAGCTGTCGTTTGAACTGGGAGCCAAATGAAGCTTGTGTTTATGGGTGTGTGGTGAGGAGTGGGAGGGGAAGAAAGGAAAGAGAGAGGAGGAGGAATGAAGAGTCATTCCAAAACATTTCCCTCTCAGCTTACATTTGGATGTTGTTACTGGAACAAGGAGAGCAAATGTTTGCCTCGTTCCAGCTCTTCCCTTCTTTCCCCTCCTCTAAACTGATCAGGAAGGGAAAGAAGGGGGGGTTTGTTGTGTGTTTGCATGCTGTGCACACAAGGAATAAAGAGCCTGTAGGTAGCTGGGATTGATCCGTGCTCCGGTGAGGCATCTGTGCCTCTGATGCGTTTGTTGAAGAGCCTTCTGTGTTTGGCCTGAAGAGCAGAAAGCTGCTGACATAAAAACAGCCGTGAAACAACTTCAACATGTGGAGGCTGGAAATGACTACTGTTTGGGTTTGTTGGAGGGTTGTTACTATGTTTGCTTCCCTAAACATACCAGGTAACTATTAGAAAGTGAGAATAATTAGTTAACAATAACATCAGTTTTGCACCCTACCTAATGTGGGAGGAGACGCACACTTGGTCACATTGAAACCAAACACTAATGGATGTTATTGGGAATTTATGGAAAGGTTAAAAGAAAATCTATATATAAACTTTTTTTTTTTATCTTTTATTTTTTTTTTTATATGTTTTTATATAAATGTATATATAGAGATTTTTTAAAAAACTTTATTTTTCTTTTCATGTATTTAAGTTTGATAGTTTTTTTTTTTATCCATCTTCTCCATTGTTACCTTTATTATGAAACAGGGGAGACTGAATGGTGTTAATTAAATCCAACGGTCAAGTATTGCATTAAAAAAATGCTGAAACAACTAAAACACATCACTTCAACAGGTGAAAATAGCTGTTTTGATGCGCTCTGAAATAATAAACTCCAGAAAGAAACGACAAGGATCCAGCAGAAGATGACTCTTAATGAGAGGAAATCCTCTTCGCTGTCTGGGCACTCAGTCAGAAATCCTTAACTATGTTTGCCAATCAGCAGCCAGTTTCACGCACCTGCTCCATAGACCTAAGAGATTTGCCTCACTGAAGGTGACGTATTTTAGTGTTCTATCCAATCGGGGTTCTACTTTCTCACTGTTACCTCAACGGACAGAGGCTCAAACCTTAACAAGGATTTCTAATAGAGACTGACATGCAGCGTCCTGCTGCTCCAGAGCGGAGGGGAGATTGCTTCAAAGAGTAGAATACATTGATTAATGTGCAACATACTCACGAAATCATGATAATGTTAGCAAATATTTAATGCACTTTTATAAGGTTTGACAATGGATATTTTACCAATGATTTTACAAAACTTAGATAGGAGGTTTAGCCTTTCTAGTATTCAATGAGAAAATCTCCATGAAACAGATGCTAAGATTGCTCTATATTATGCAGCCCCATTTAAACCTTTTAAGACATGGCTGCCCATCTAAGCTAACAGGATGGGCAGAGAAAGAATTGATCACAGGCAGCCATGGGGGGACAGTTATTCGTCATGTCCTCCACAGATAGCGGCTATTAGGTAGAGATGGAATAACTCTGAAGTTTACCCAAAGCCATTAAAGGGACACAGCAAACATGCAAAAAGAGGAGCTCCTGTCAGATGAGACCAAATGTAAGCAATACACATCAGTCAGGAAATAATCTGGCAGTAATCCATGGTGGTGGGAGCATCATACTGTGGGGAAGCTTTTATTCGATAAACTTAAGGAAGCCATAAAAAAAAATAGTTTTTTGTCAAAAACTATATGATTGCACTTCTAAGTTAATTTAGCAGGGTTCTGGAAACATTTGGAAAAGTTTGCAATTTTTACTTTGATTAAATTCCAGGTTTGGATAATTGCGTGGGCGAAATACCAACATGAAACCAATCGACAAGTGTTTCCAGTCTGTATTTATTATGATTTAGTTTAGAAAATGTAATTCTCAGAGAATAATAATTTTAACTTATCTTCCGTCTTTAAATCATCACATCTGAACTCCAAGATAAACACTCATTAAAGGGGTCTTTCACCTTCATATCATCTAGGCCCTATCAGACATTTAGACTGGACCTATTGGTAGATTTCAATCTGGGTCTGTTTAGTCATGGGGTGTGAATACTTTTGTTAACAAACTCCGAGTTCTCATAGTAAGTTATGATCTATTGCCGCTGGCATGTTGACAAAGCTCTGTTACATAATAGTGTTGTCCATTGTGAAGCAGGCTGAGGGATGCACACCTATTCATGCTGGCATTCAGAATGTGAATGTCTTGTAATTACCTCTTTGTTGGCCTCCTTAATGTTTCCTGCAGAACTTGCTCTTCCAGCTTCAGTTCTGAATCACCTCAAACAAAATCAGTTTCTATGAGAACAATAGTATGATAATCTGCCTCTGGCTCTGGCTCCTATTTTTTTTACTTAAATCTAACAGGATTGTGGGTCACATATGAACCGTCTCAGTCACTCTGGATGGAATATGTCGTGAAATCGAACTAATCATCAGCTAGGTGAAGGCGACGCATTTTGCACATGCAGGATCATTTACAAACCGCTGCAGCCGCAAACACAACACATGCGCCCATGCACACATGCATGCAGGGGGACTTTAATAAATCTCTAACTAAAGGTTCCACCTACACAGTATGTTCAGAGCATAAAGCCAAAGTGCATCACTGCTGTGTGTGTGTACATCTCTGATTAATTGGAAAGCTGCATTTGGTATTGATTTGGAATGTTAGGTGTGTGACATAGAGAGTGCGGAGGCGCTGACGGACTGGAGCTTTAATGTACTGATTTAGATGCAGGGGGGAACTCGGCAGGCACAGCGCGTTTCAGAGATTCCCAGCGGAGTAATACAGAAACACACACACATGCATGCGTTCGGTCCCCACCCCCTCTTCCCCTACACACATGGTTAGGTTTATCGGGGTAATGGCTGTGCAGTAATGGGCCTGGACGAGGAGGATGGTGTTGGTGGGGGTTGGCCAAACCATGAAACTCCTTGGAGGTTGTGATTACGGATAGCAAACATGGAAAAAGCAGAGTGGAATAAAAGCAATCGATAAGTGCATCATGTTCAGATATGGGATTTGTTTTACGAGGGCTGGATGGAGGAACCGGGTTTGATGGTTTGATGTCGGTGGGCTTTGATCGGGGAGGTTTCCGATTCCTCCTCTGTGCTTGAGTTACATTAAAGTCTGCAAAACAAATCAGATTGGTGTTTCTGCTGCGTGTGCAACAAGTAAAATCTGGCAGCTCCTCACTGAATTTTGGATGCGGTTCCTCTAAAGTAGAAGATATAAAATGTTTTATCGTCGCTTAAACGATGAGCTAATGCAAACAAGTGATTAATTAAGAAGTAGAAGAGAAGGGGTCCATGTTTGTTTTAAATTTCTGAAGCAATCAGAAATTTGTGGATTGGGGGTGTATTCTGCTGCCCTGAGTTCAAACTAATTGTCTTCTGGGATTTATGTATGTCCTCGTTTTGTGCATTTTTATTTTCAATCTTCAGAAGAAAAACACAAGCTCAGTCAGTCTGGCTTTAAATATCAGTCCCAGTGTGACAGATTCTTATCTATGTTTAGGTCAGGACTTTGACTAGGCCACCCTAACACATTGAATCGGAACCCTAATTTTCTAGCTCTGGCAGCCTTTTCAGCACTGTTCTCAACTCTAACCCTAACACATCATATGTTCCCTGGTAAAGATACTATTCCAGTCACTATGATGGTAGTAGATGAGCAGAGTTTTGCGTTTTTCTAAAACAATTTTGCTTGTTCACCAGAATGTTTAGTTCGGTCTCATCCTATCAGAGGACCCTTCTCCAGATGTTTCCAGAATCAGTTACAGGATTTATGTTGCCGTTTATTGAGATGAAAGGACATGCAGTTAGACCTGTTTTTATTTTAAAAACATAAAAAGACAAGTACAATTTGTCTAGATATTTGTCCTAGTCTGGGTTTTTATCCAACAAGTGAAATCTCAGTTCAATATATTAAGTTTGCAGGTCTAATATATGACAGCGTTTCCAAGACAGTGATGGTTGTGATGGCCTGTGAATGTGTGCCAGCTTTATCTAATACCCTGGTTTTGTTAAGTAACCTGTTTTGATGACTGTGGGTTTTCACCCTGCGGTTTGCTGAACCGCTCCTGTCTCCTTGGGCCGTCTGCCTGTGGACGGTGGCTGAGTGCTGATGTGATTACAGCACATTGAGAAACATCAGCGTATATATTGACTGAGCTCCCCACATCCAGTCAGAAAAGCAGAGGCTTCTACTGTATGAAAATATAATATATATATATATATATATATATATATATATATATATATATATATATATATATATATATATATATATATATATATATATATATATATATATATATATATATATATATGTATATATATATATATGTATGTATATGTGTATATATATATGTATATGTGTATATATATATATATATGTATATATATATATATGTATGTATATGTGTATATATATATGTATATGTGTATATATATATATATATGTATATATATATGTATATGTATGTCATTTTATTTCCAGATGACTGAGAATCTCTGTTCTTCTTCCAGGCGATGCCTTCCCGCCAGGCTCGAGTCCGTTCCTGTCAGGTTATCCAGGCCCCTCCTCGTTGACCTCTGACCCCACCTACAGGTCGAGCAATCCCAGCAGCCTGCAGATGGCTCAGCTCTGGGCATCACATGCTCATGAAGGTAAACAACATTTGCCTCTCTGGCTGTCAGTCTCAGGAACATAATTCAAAGTGTCGTTACACTTTCAGGACGTTTTCCCCTTCGCGCGCCGGATCTCAATCCCCAGAAGGCCCGTTCTTCTTCTGTTTCTGCTCTCACCAGCAGGGTCCTGTCCCATTTCTATGTTACGCCTGGCGGCTCTACCCTCAGCTCTGGCCTAAATGTGTCTTACTTCCTACGTCCTCAACCAGTCCTCTGCCTTCGCCCGTCCCCTCATACTGTAATCTATCTTTTCTCTCTCTCCATTCAGTGTGTCTCAGTCCCCCTCTGTAGCTCTCCCGTCCCACTTTTCCTTGACATCTTTTTCCGTACTCTTTTCGTGCCTTTGTTTGGGACTGGTCGGCAAGCGATTAAATCTCTCCTCTCTTTTCGTTCCCTTGTGTTTTTTTTTCTTTTTGTGACTGCTTATCGCGTCACATCAGGGTGGAAGGTCAGATAGTAGGAAAGGCATCTAACTCTGTGTGCTGACAAAGTAAAGAGAGAAGGACAAACGGATTCCAGTTAAGATTTCCTTTAAAGCAGATTGCATTATCTTAGACCTCTTCTTAGATGATGTGGTCTGTTTTTTTTTTTGTTTTTTTTTTCCCCCAGACTTTCTTGGGCTACTTTCTCTAAACCAAGGACCTGTCAAGGGTACAGCACAGGCATGTGATCACATCTGTGTTTTTAACTCGCTCGCTGACCTTTAGCTTCCTGCAGAACAGCAACAACTCTGACCTCCATAAAGCAATTAATTTTTTATGGTTTTTCTCCTGCGCTGCTTCACCTTTTTACAATGAAAACAAGCAATCACAGATTAAGGTTTGAGATAAATGCATGAATTGGTTCCATGCCAGCATATTTGATGCCTTCAGATACCTTTAGGATCGTAATATGAATAAAAAAAAAAAGAAATGCAATTTTTTTTTTTTTTTTTTTAATCAGGTATGTAAACATCTTATTTATTTAGGTGGAGGCTTGGTAGTTTTACTGTGTTGTTTAGATTATATTTTGGGATATTGCTTCATTGCCAAAACCAGCTTTCATTCTCTTGTGTACAAATGCACGCCACACTTTTCAGACTTCTCTTTATTCCTTCCTCTTTTTTTCAGGCTGTTCGTCACATAAAATCCCAGTGAAATTCACCCTTGTTTTGTTGTTGTAATGTGTCAAAATGTGGAAAAGTTCCAGTAGTGTCAAAGTTTGAGTGAAGCGGCAGTAACTGAAGCGGAGGAAATATCAGATGAATGACTGGTCTTGATCTGAGTTTAGCTCTCACTGATGCTTTAGTATCTTAAGCTAGAGGAACTAAATTCTGCCCACAGGCTGCAAAAGCCACGTAACTCACTTGCTTTGATATGAAAGAAATCCATCACAGGCTGAGAGAGCTACCTAAGAGCTGGTGGCTGACTGTATGAGCAGTTAATGTTTTTTATAAGCTGCCGACATTTCCAGCCTGGGATGCTCAGGAGCTGTGAGACTTAGCTGCTGGAGTTCGTGTTCAGCTGTTATCTGCGGTTAAAGGAAGCTTTACGAGACACCCCTCCTGCATGCCTTTAAGTTCTTTCTCAGTCCCCTCTTCTCCATCCAAAAACAATCCTGTTCTACTTTGAGTTTTCCATGTAAGCAGACAGATTTGTTTAGTTTTATTTCCAGCACTTTGTGTCAGAGTATTAACAGTATTTGAATGGAGAACACCACACCCTTATATCTGGTTTTCTTCAACCGTGTGTTAAGTAAACAAAAGCGCTTGCTGTTATTTTGCAGATCCAAATTTAACATTAAACTTTGATCTTTTATTAGTTCCTTCCTTTGGTATTGTTAGTCTTTGTTTAGTTTTTTAAAAGGTACTGCAGGGGAGGGTTTAAAAGTTTCCAAGCCTGAGATCTATATTAAGATCTGGTCTCTGAGAGCAGCAGCTGCAGATGGGCAACCTAGAACCACATGCAGTGGACTATAGAATCAGCTGGTAATGTTTTTACCGAAACAAGGTCACATTTCTCACAGTTTGGAGCATCTTTAATTGAAAAGATGAGACTTCTTTTCTTATATTTGTTATATTTATATTTGCTTTACAGAGAGGATTAATGAGCTTTTAAAAATGAAAAAAATATTTCTTTATTTCTCTCTGCAAACTTAATTTTCTTATCATGATTGTAAATAAATAGTACCGTATTTTCACGACTATAAGG